GGAAGGCAATCATAGTTCTTTTTAGAATATGTATACAGCAGGAAAAAACAAGGAAGGAAGGAAGGAAGGAAGGAAGGAAGATGGATGGATGGATGGATGGATAGATAGATAGATAGATGAGAAAGAAAATGTTTTCTCCCTCCAGTAAGAAGAGGACATTAAAAATCATGCTTTACCTCAAACCAGCTAGGGAGCTTCATGAATGTACAGAGATTATTAGTTGGCCACCTCAATAATTAGTATTGATGTTATCTGGAGGCCAGCAAGATATTGTTGCATCCAAAATATCCTACTGTACTTCAAAAATCTTTCGTAACAAGGTCAGATAGAAAGACTATAACAATATGCTATTTTTTATGGCTACATTACACATACAGTTTATATCAGTAAAAGAGACAACTTCAGAACAATCACATTTTCATAATTTACCATCACTAACCTATTATCAAGAAAGACCATTATTTTCAAACAGGGTACTTTGTTTTTTGAGAAGGTCCTTGAAGGAGAAGGGAGTTGTTTGTTGGAATCCCAAATCTCCACAGGCACCAAGTTTTAGAGCCCCCAGGTTTTGCACAGAGATTTAGGTCAAAATATGTCACAATTAAATATCCAGATGCCATCAACCCATTTGCTACTCTGTCCTTTCAACAGAAGCTGTAAAAAAAAGCCCCAAGTTAGTTCTGTATTCTCCCCAAAAGTTCCCCAAGATGTACATTCTTATTCAGAAAACTTTAGAAGTTCAAAAAGAAAACATATTTGTGAGGATAAGAGAGAGAAAAGAAATATACTATTTGGAAGGGAAAATATTAATTCATGACACTGGTTTGAGGTAAAGCATTATTTATCTTAGAATCTTTTCCTTAAGTTGTTCATTATTCAAATTCCATCAGAATTCCATCAGAATAAAGGGTAAATTTTTGAACACCACCAATCATCTATACAATTCAGTATATGGGAATAATTATATAGTACATATCACCTGCATGCTTCAGCTGTTCTAAACATTCTTTTAGACTTTTTTTTAAAAAAAATCAAGCTCAACTGAAGTAATTCTTAATTTATCTCTTTGTTACATTTTCAATTTCAAGTGCTTCTAACATATGTATGGAAATAATTTTCCTCTGAGCTAGAAATATCAGAAACATGTGAGCAAGATTTCAAGGCATCAAAGCAAAACTGTAAAAAAAATATTATTTTTACCTTTCTTATTTAAAAACTAATGTCTTTTTTAATACCTGTGACATATCATTTTAGAAAAATCTTGCAAGGGAATCTGACCAAATGGCTTGTAAATCCTCCTCCTTGCCTTTTTATGAAAAAAAAGAACTATTAAATATGGATACAGAACAACTATTTCCAGGTATCTGTCAAAAACAGATTCATCTTTTGCCTTAGCAAAATAATTAGCTACCGTATATTGCAGGCTTGCAAAATCCAACATTCTTTTTTAGTATATTGATAAATTCTATATATTACCAACAACAAACACATGATTTTCTTTTTCGAACTTCAGAAAAAAATGCAAAACCTATTTTAAAATAGTTTTAAACTAATTTTAGACTTTCATTTTTATGGCTGAAAGGACAAGGTAGAAAAAGGATGTGTTACTGGGCACAGGGATGCCCTGCATATATGTATAACCCTAGTGACCATATGACTTTAAATTATTGATGTCTTGAAGAGCAAAGGTTTATTTTTACCAACAATTTCATTCTCCATATGGAACAGCCTATCTTGAATGCCTCCTCACCTATCTGAGAATTCAGTAGAGCTTTTTTTCCCCTCAGACTCATCCAAACAATTGAATTGATTTTCCAAATCCTTTAGAATCACATCAGATAGGAGCCAAATAACAGGCTTTAAAGGTAAGAGACAACATTTCAATTGACACACTATTTGTTTCTTTAACATATTTTGTATATGATTACCTTCCCACAATCAATCTCACTTTAAACCATCTTGCTGTTTCTCAGTTTGGCTGGTTCATTGTTTGCATACATTAGATACTTGCAAGCATACGCTGCAATTCACTAAAAGTCATAATTTGTTTTGGTATCCTTCTTAGTTGCCTTGGGCCACCCCACCCTTCAAATCCATATAAATATCAAACGCCCTAGAGAAAATCTTACAAGTTATTTTCTCCCAAGGAACTCACACAGTACACAATACTATTTCAGTTTCCATTAATAGATCTTATCAATCCAAGGCAGGCAATTCAGCAACAACTAGTGGAGAACTGCCATGGAAAACAATGTCTGAACAAGCAAACATGATTAAAACAGAAAGACGTAACTCTTTAACAAAGGCTTAAAAGTATGTTTATGGTTAAAGGTATGTCATGGGTGACTTTGGACCAGTCACTCTCTCTCAGCCCAACTTACCTTGAGGATTGTTGTTGTGGGGAAAGGCAGAGGAAGAGTATTAGATATGTTTGCCACTTTGAGTTATTTATAAAAATTAAAAGAGGTAGGATACAAACAAACAAATAAATAAGAACCCATACAATCCTTATCGCAAGTTGTCCAAGAAGCCACTGCTTTAACATTCAAATCAACCAGTATTAAGGTCAAAATTGATTCCCACAGTAGTTTCCCTTCATCTCAAGATGAGTTTTCCAGATTTTGTTAAACAAAATTCATTTAAAGAACTGGCATTTTGAGCAACTGCCAAAGGCAGAAGCCAACTTGCCAAATCCAAGCTGCTATTTGTGTGGCTGCCATAAACCAAAATGCATGTTTTTAATGACACAGAGTTCCAATTAGCTACTGCCAAGGGATGTCAAAGAAAGATGTCTCCAGATGGGAGGAGAAAATGCTTGGGTGCAACAGCACAAGTTAAAAGGCACTGCAGGAAATCTTGTAATTACTCAACTAAGCAGTCAGAAACTATACAAACTTACAGGCAATGCCAAATTCCTTTAACCGAAGTTTTCCACTGAGAGTCATGCATTCACTCCTTATACAATGTATTCAATATATGCAGGCAGCTGTACAATATGTATCTAATATTCCAATTATTCTCAACAAGAGTGTCCTTTCACACTCAAACATGTCAGTATACAGAACACACTCCTCGTTTTCCATCTGAGATCCCAAACACAGCCAGCCACAGTCTAGTTATGTGTTTTATGAATGTGCAAATCCAACCTTTAATTGAATTTGCCACTCAGAGATATGCACAGGGTTGGCTTTGAAAGCCATTCCTTACTTCTGTCTTGTTGGAATGCCAACATTTACACAATTAAGGATTTGCAATGGCCAAAGACATCTGGCCACACAAACAAAACATTAGCTGTATTCTAGATAACATAATGGCACAGATAGAAGTCTGACAATCAGCTTGTAAAATGTTACTTGGAAAGTGGGGGAAATAGCTGTTTGTTTTACAAAGGACAAGCAGAATACTGAAAGATTAGAGCAAAATAAATACTCCATTCCTATCCTACATAAAAAAGATTAGAAAGACAGCCTGAACTGGTTATTTGGAATCCACCACAAATGTCAAGCTTCATTCAGAGTGAGCTCTATCTTACCCAATGCATTGCAGATTTCTGAGAAATCATTTGCAGAAAGAAAATGCTTAAAACGTTAAGAAAAATGCTTGTAGCTCAAACTCTCTGATCTGGTCTCCATACTCTCATCCTGAAATTCTTGCACCAGATGTAAGGGCAATATTCATTAATAAAAAGTATTTTCATAGAAGCAATGGGCTTTACAATTGAAGTAATTGTTCAGGGGAATACATGTAGCATTATCAATTTATTTATAAAATCTAGTCCCTAGGAATAAAACCCATCAAATAGAAAATATGGGTCCAATAACTATCTGAATACATATAAAGCCCAAAGACAACATAATAGAGTTCCCAAATCAAATCTGGAAAAAAAATTGAATAACCACTAATTAGGCAGCAAAAAGTTAAGTGTCCTTCAGTGTCATCTAGTGATTATTTAGATTTATGTATTTTTTGCAAACCAGACCAGATAGCCTTAATCTGTAAGCAGGAAAGCTCAACAACTGTAGATATTGTTCATGCTACTAAGTAGGTGGCATTAAATGCATAATCTCTCTCCCCAAGGAGAAATCTCATTCATTTCATTACCTGTGAAAGGGGCTCAACAATTAAACCCAGCTGCCTTTTTTTTTTTTTTTTTTTTTACCAATTGCACAAATTAATTTCTGCTTTCAGTGGGGTTCACTGGGGTTGATTGCGGTGAAAGAAATTCCTCTGAAGGTAATGTGACTTTATTGGATGTAAACATCTCAAGGACTGGGTAGTACATATGCTCACAATTACAGCTATTAGTATCATTGCTGGAGCCCAACCAGTGATCTCCTACCACAGCAGAGCTGGAAAAAAAAAATACTGCAAGACAGAATCCATTGGAAAGCTCAGGTTCCCAACAACTGGGGAGAAGAGATGATGGGTGTCATCCTAACAGCTCAATACCTCTCTGGCCACAGGAACCAAATCTACAACTAGAACGTTTGGTTATGCATATGGAGAAGATCCTAAATGCACACCTTGTTTACACACACACTTAAGTAAACTAGCAGACCTTCCGCTCGGAGCCTAGATATTTCCCCGTATGAGCCACCTTCCTGCCTCAAATCCAAAACCGCATTTTAAGATGGGGGGGGGAGTAGTAGCAACTACTCCCGATTCAGGAGTGCGCTTAGGTACAAGCGCTTTCGCAAGAGAAGGCGACTCCCTTTCAAGCCGAGCTCTAAAGCTAGCTTGGCCCCGCAAGGCTCTCTCAAGAGAGAGAGATCAAGCAAAAAGATCCCAGAGCCCGGGCACAGGAATCTAAGCCTCCTCCCTCCACTTTACCCAGCCGATTCCCCCGATCCACCAAGGAAGCGGACGGGCTCCTCCAAACCCATCCAGTTCTTTCCAACGCCGGGCGAATGCGAGCGCGCACACCGCCTCTGCCCTTGTCCTAATGCCAGCGGGAGGGAGGGGGGGTGCTAAGGGACGGGCAGCAGAGTCTTGTTACTCACAGAAAACCGATCCAAGTCCGTGGCAGCCATAGCGGGGCACCTCCGGAGGTCAGTGGCCAGGAGTTCCTTCTCAGGCGCTAAAAAAAAGTCGTCTCACCCCAAACCTGCTCTCCTCTTTCGATTGATGCAACTGAATGAATCCAATATGGCCACTTCCTGGAAACTCCCCCTCGTCGGCTGGGGAGAACGCAGACGCGGCCCGCCCCTTGGCGCCCGGGGCTCCCAGCCGTAGGGAAAGTCAAGGAGGGCGCTTTTTGGAGGGAGACCCCCGTGAGCCCCTCCGGCTGGAGAAGCCTCCGCGGAGAGGCGAGAAAAGCACCGCGTTAACTGCGGCTATCCGGCATTCCATCGAAGGAATGCTGGGAACGATCGCCCTTTGCCTGTCTCGATCCCAGGCGCATTTGGCCAATCTGTTTGGCGGGTCTGTGTCTGTGCGGATGTGTGTGTATAAGAGAGCTATAAAAAAACAAAACCAGTGTATAAAGATAATGCCCCAGCACCATTCATTTTAATATAGCATTATCGCTTTGCAACAGCTTCGGAAAGAAGTCTGATGTTCCTTAACTCAAGAGTGCAGGGGTCCAGAGAGATAATAATTCATCTAAAAAAGTTGCTTAATTTAAAAGTAAGCTTTATTGGGATATAACCAGTGGTGGAATTCGCACCAGTTCGCACCACTTCGGGAGAACCGGTTGTTAACTTTCTGAGCAGTTTGGTGAACTGGTTGTTGGAAGAAATAATTAGGGCAGAGAACCGGTTGTTAAATTACTTGAATCCCACCACTGGATATAACAGAAATGGGCAACAGCTTTGGGAAGAAAAACCTTGCCAGTTTCATTTTTTAAAGTAGGTGAGGCCTGTAGAAAATAGAAAAAAACATCTTGGAAAATCCAAAAAGATCTGAAAGAACACATCAAAAAACAAAGCGGCAGGTTCTAAAGCTATATATACTCTTAAATTTGGGGCTCACAAGGATACTGTGGTGAGTATATGTGGGTCATAAGCTGTGCGTTGTATAGGACTGCAAACCTGATTCTGTTTAATCACTATAACACAAGCCAACAGTTTTGTGCGATCATAGAAATTTTCATTGCAGTTGTTTAAAAATTTAATTCAACCTTATCTCCAAAACAAGCATCACGCTGTAGCTCCATGCTCATTTATTTAGGAACAAACCCTAGTGAGCTAAGTAGAGCATTCCCAAAAAGACATATATAGTATCATTTATTTATTGCATTTATATTTTTATGTTCCTCAAAAAATTCAAGGTGCTGGTAGCTCCTCTTTCCCCTGACATTTTAACTTCATAACAAGTACATGAGATGGATTAAGATATACCCTCTAGGCCAGTATCATCCAGTGAATGTTGTATCTGAGCAGAGATTTAAAATCTGAGTCATGCCAAGTAGCAACACCTAGCTAAACTTGGCTGATCTTCAAAAATGAATCAAAGACATACCATGCTAGTATTTGTATGAGAAACCACCTGGAAGGCCAGCATTACCAACTAGACTGAAAGGTGATGGCAAATATTTCCGTGTTGCTGTCAAGAGAACATTGGGCATATTCACACAACCCCCAGGAGGCAAGTTCAATCTGAAGGAGACCTTCATTGTAATTTCCTCAGTCTTAGCCTAGCAACCCAACCATGATACAGTGCTGGTTGTATATCCCTAAAGGCACATCTTAAAAACTGCACTGAGAATTATTTTTCATCTGTATATCAAGCCTTTGGGTTTTATCGTTGCTATTTCTTTGTTGACAGCTCAATTCAAGTAGATAAATAGCCCAATACTTGGAGAGGCAAATGTTCAAGGATGCCAATGAAGCAGAATGGCTCCATTCCTGTATATGGTGGTATGTCTCAGCACCTCCTTTAATTCTAATAGTTTCTAGGGCAGAGCTGTCAAACTCGATTTTATTGAGGGTTGTGTTTGATCGGGGGGGGGTGTAGGTGTGTCAAGTGTGGGTGTGGCCAGTTCAACGTCATTCAGGTCCAGGGCACCTGTAGTGGCCAAGTACTAAGGCAGGACTTCACTGAGACCTTCCCTCACTCTCATTATAATCTCCTTCCTTCCTTCCTTCCTTTCTTTTCATTCCCTCTTCATTCTCCTTTTGTCTTCCTTCCCCTCTTTCCTTATTTTTTCTTCCTTGCTCTCTTCCCATCTTTTCTTCCTTTTCTTTGTCTTTCCTCCTTCCCTTTCTCCTTTCCTGTCACTTCTTACATGCTCAAATCAAAAGGGGAAACATTTCTCCTTTTGTTTTGTTTTTAGTTTGTTTTGCTAGCCCTCTGCCAGTGAAAACGGAACCTGCAGGGCCACCCCCTGCCCCGTTTTCACACACCCCTGCCCCGTTTTCAGCCACAATGGCCTCCTGCAGCCCTCTGCCACCAAAAAGGGAGTTCAGGGACGCTGCTCAGGGGGAGCTCCCTTTTTGCTGGCAGAGACACCATGGGCTGGTCCTTTGCTGTTTCTAAGGCAGCCTGGTGGGCCAGATCTAAGCACTCTGGGAGCCGAATCTGACCCACGGCCTTGAGTTTGACACCCTGTTCTAGAGCGTCCTTTCAGCACAGTCCTGGCATAACGTTTTGCTTCCACAGAATAGGAAAAAAAGAAAAAAGGTCACAAAGGGGATCACCTGACTCTGGGACACGGCAACTGTCATAAATATGAGTCAGTTGCCAAGTGTCTGAATTTTTATCACATGACCATGGGGATGCTGCAACAGTCATGTGAAAAATGGCCATAAGTCACTTTTTTCAGTGCCGTTGTAACTTTGAACCATCACTAAATGAACTGTTGTAAGTCAAGGACTAGCTGTATATCAGATGTATTATTACAATCAAAGATCAGGATACCGTATGTATATTCATTTTTTACACTGCTACAATGTAAAATGCCATTTTTATTTTTGTGTCATCGTATTAGGTCTCTTATGTTTTTCCTTCTTGTGGGATGCTTTTCATTTGTTACACAGTAACATATTCTGCAGTTAAAAAGACAACGTCAATAAATAATTTGCTAGTGTTTCCTAAAATATATATTCCTAATACTTTTCCTTTATTCACAAGATTTAGGAATCACTTCCCCATTTTTCTTGCCCATTTATATTCAAACAGGAACTATAGTGTATTCAGGATAACAATGGCTTATCCCCTCATAGTAACATCCAGATTTGATGCTGTTTAGACTGTTTTAGTATATAGGACATAATATTCGTATATTTGTATTGATATAGATGCATTTGTGAGTCTATCTTGCACACAGCACTGTCAACCCAACAACTAGAACCAATATATGTGACGTAGGGGAACACAGAGATGCCTCAACAAAACAATGAGCCCCTTTACCAAATCCTGACATTCAGCTATGGATGAAAATAACAAAAATAGGGGGGTTTCTAGTTATCCTAGCACCAAAATCAGCATATTTAAAATCTAATTTGCAGCCTTCTTAGGCTAACATTATATCTGGAAAACAGAAAGCAAAATGAAGATAATTAAAGGTCTGTCTGTGAATATAACGTGGGATGAGTTAATCAAAAATAACTCCTCTTGAAATCTATGGGGAAAAGGAAATATGCTGCAATTTATCAGAATATATCTGCTAAAAGGAAAAACCTAACTGTTGTTCTGTTTGTCTAAAAATATCTTATTTCCTTATTTATTTACATAACCATTTCTCCCCTATAAGCCAGTGGCCACCACTCACAAATTTAGGCAAAAACTAGCAATAGTTACAACAACAAACACTTCAAAAAAAAAAACCACTTGTCCATCAGTCCTAAGCAAAGAAAGATGTGATATAAGCCTATAAACAAAAAACTGGGTATCGATTGTTTGACTTACTGACACTGGCTGACTTGTGGTTGTTGTTGTTTTTTTTTTTTTTTGGGTCACATTCAAGTTTTTATTCTATGCATATAAGGGTAATCCTTGTTTAGTGACCAAAATTGAGACTGGCAACTCTGTTGTTAAGCAAAGCATTCATTAAGTAAAACACAACTGTGCTTATGATATTACTTCAGCTTTCCTTTGCTTTACAGATCTGCAAAATCACATTTTCATCACCATCATAACTGTGAATGATTGCCAAACAAAGCCGTCTCTAAACAAGGACTACTTCTGTACTGTCTGGTAACTTTTATTTCTGTTTTAGAATCTACATTTCAGTGTAGTCTTGTCCTGAATGTATATATGCAATCCCAGGGTTATTAGAAAACATGTGAGAAATGACTGTGTAATATAATTCTTTATACATGAGCAGCACAAATATTTTCATGTCACATGTTGATCAGTAGCTGAAATAATTTTCTTCATCCGGTTTCAGTGAATTATTTAATGAACTATTCCTTTACTTAGATAGATTGTGCTAGCTAAGTTAGTCTCCAACGTCTGTTAAAATGGCAATGCATGAGACTGCAAGTACCTAAACTCCATCTGATAATTTTAAAATTCATTCTGTAAATAGTGGGTAAGAGTTTTTGAAGCATATGGGAATTAGTATCTATGTAAAAAGTTGGACTCCTGATAAGATCTCATCACATGCCATGGTGAGGTTACAACCTAAAACAAGCAGGCCACAGGGCAGTGTCAAAATATAAATTCCAAACATTCTTGGTTTGTGGCTGTTCATTTTAGCTATAGATCAACTTTCCATGACATATCATAATGTTCTTTTATACAAGAATATTAAATGCCTATCCTATATCTGCTCTCCATACTTAAAATCACTTGCATATAAGGGACACAGGAGCCTGATACTTTTGCAGGTGTCACCTCACACACACATCTCTTCTGTTTAAACCATACCTTTAATTCCACAATTGTTATACATGTTTAAGCAAACGTGAACAGAACCTTCCCCTTGAAGGTTTAGCTACTCAACAAGATCCATGTTCTGAGAAACCAATGAGAGCGTGCATGGTCTTTGTAACCCACGTAGATGCTAAATAATCTGGACAAAAGCAACAAATTTACCCAAAGATATATCTAACCATTTAAGTTAGATGCACTTCTATGTCATTATATGCTTATTGTGCCTATGCTAGAATCAGTGAGGCATCTTATGATCCAGCTATCCTGCATCCTAAATTATTGTAGATTCTGTTACAATTAACTGCACCTCCCTTGTTCTGAAAGAAACTATTTTCCCCTCCATAATTACCTTGCAAATAGCTTGCGATCTAGGCAACTCACTTTATAAAGTAGAGAAGTTCAGCACTATGTTCTGACTCACCTGTGTGGGCATATGCAGTAGAAAGAAAAATTCCCCGGAACAGAGGTATACATTTCTGTAATGCATCATTTACAGTTTGGACACCTAGAGATCTTTCATAACGATACACAT